GGGATGCCTAGAGGCACCTGATAAGAGAAAAGTAAATAATACAGAGGAAAACAACCATTATATTCTCTAGATTTAACTTTGGCACATATCTGACATCAGAAATAGAAACTCACCTCTTGTGAAATCATTTTGTTTAATTGATCAGAAAAAATCTGCCAGTCTATTCATTTTCAGACATATATTTATAAAACTAAAGCTCAATCTAGAGATCAAGTCTTATTGTAAAACATTGATAAATGTTGTGAGTTTCATTTTTTAAACAGATTTCACTACTTGCCACTCTTATGTGAATTTAATATTTTTATTCCTTCTCTAATTGATCAAATAAGAAGTTTATTACTAATTCCATAATTTTAACTTTTTCATTGAACACCACCCTGGTGCATTTTATATGTATGTTTTCATGAAATACAGAGTAAGAAAAAAATCACTGTGATATGAACTCCACAAAACATAAAGGAAGATGGCTTTAATGATAATAGTTACCTTTGGAAAATATTTTTACATACTTTTTTTCCATTCTATCCTTACCGCAGGGTAACAAAGCACATAATAAAGCAGTTATAGAATCACAAAGCTAATAGGAGCCCTTGAGGTCAGTAGCTCCAGCTTTCTATCGTAAGATGAGAAAAGTAAAATCCAAGGATGTTAAGTTAAATTTCCCAAGGTCTGTAGTTTTCCACTGTCTCCCATTACCTTTTCTGCTCCATGCTACCTTTGCTGCTCCCTTCTTTCAGATAATATAATTATAGTCCCTCACCCGGAGTCATACAAACCTTCAGTGAACTGGACCCCAAGTCCTTGCTTTCTAACATCATTTTTTTCCACTCTCCAGTGCATAGCCTGCTGTTCATCTCTGCTGTGTAAAGGACCATTCCTATCCTATTTCTAGCTTTCAGGAGAAAAATATTCCTGTTCATCTCACAAGATGCTAAAGACTCCTGCAAATATATGGATAACATCCTCAGGATCATTAACAACAGACTCAGGAAATGAAATAAGCATCTGACTGCATTATTCTTAAACTGTTTCTACAAGTTACATAGTATGTGCTTAGTAAATATTGGTTGAATTGAATGGAAGAGTAAAAAAATAGAGGTAACAGGTCTTTTTTTTTTTTTTTTTTTTTTTTTTTTTTTAAATAAGGACTGAAGTTCATTGCTATGTTTTGTAGAAGGACCATATAGTCCCAGTAAATAGAGGATATGCTTAACAACTAGGAAAACCTGAGAACCAAATCCACCTTTACCACTTAACAACCTTTGTGGCCTTGGGAAAGTTACTAACTTTCCTGAACTGTAATTTTCCTTTCTGTAAATACCGTCTACTTTACAGAGATTTTATGCGGATTAAATTAGACAATGTACATATAGAGTCAGGCACACAACAAACACCCAACAATTTACCCTCCCTTGCCCTTCATGTCTGCCTGGGAGGTGACCAGTAGCTTGCTTCTCTGCTCTGTTTGAGTCAGAGTATTAAAATCAAGCTGGGTTGTGCCTGGATACTTTACCATTATTGTAACAGCCCTGGAAGCACAAGGTGCCACAGCTTTATTTCATTGGCATGTACCACACGTCCAGTAGGCCGTGTAACAGTGTAGTTTTCCTTTTCCCCTTTAACAGTTTGCTGATACTGAACATGGCATAGAAAAGGAAACACAGGTGAAGGGGTTTTTTTTCTAGTGAAATTTGATTGTTTTGAAAAACGTTTTTTACAGTAACTTGCTGTGGAACAATATTTCATTTGCTAAATGGCCTTGAGAATTTTGTAGAGTAAATCTTTAAAATCATGAAGCTTCTGTAGCTTTCATATGTACAAATAGTATTATAAGATTCATTCTCAAAAGTATTGGTCAAATTTGCCCCCATCATCTCCAACCTTTTCAAAACTTGTAGTATTCTAAAATAAGTGGTAATGCACAAGCAAGCTATAACATGTTTGTGGATCCAGAAATTTATGTCTCATAAATTCAAAATCTTTAGAATCTTTAGAACCTCATGCTTTTAACTTTTTTATGAAAGTTGTAATACTTTAAAATATATATGAGTTTATGCTAATACATGAGTTTACCAATTCTAATACTTCATGATATACATGAGTTTACCTTAAAATCTTTTATATGAAGTATTTGAGACAGATTTTTTTTTAAATCAGGTCTTCAGATTACCCTTTGAGCCTGAATAAAATAAAATAATAAAATCCCTTTATCAAAAAATACAACTAATATTCAAAGAGCACTATTGCAAGTGACATTTGCCTATGCCCATAGGTTATGCCTGTGCTTTACTTGGCAATTAGTGGGCCATAGATGTCAGCCTATGTGGTACTTTGATAACAAGTTCAATCAATCCTGATCAAGACTTTCCCAACCTGCAAATTTATCAATGTTAAACACTTTGAAAATATAAGCCTTCCTCCTTTCTCCCAAACACACACGTACTGTAGCCTAGAATTGCTTGCACAGTGACTTTTATAATAAAAGGTTCAGTCTTAGGGTGAAGGGGGATAAGGAGGTTGGAGAAAGGCTAGAGAGCAATAGCATTTCAATCAATACTATTAAATATAAGAAACTGGGTTTTGGTAACATGAACAATAGCAGTTATTTCCAGGTACTTAAAATGTGAAGTCTCCAGAATATACTACGGTTTTGGTTCCATTTCTCAGAGAAGAAACTACTAAAACAAAAAAGGAAATAAACAAGACACTAAAGATTTCCAGGATAATTAAAGAATGAATGTATGAAATAATATCAGTTCCTTAGAAAATGACTGTTTAAAGCTGGGTGGTCTTTTAATTGATCAAAATAAGGATTTGCAATTGTGTTACATGTTTATTATAGGTCTGTATGTGTCTATCTATATGAAGACCTCTATACCCTCAGATATACTATCAGCCGAGTTGATGAGGATCCTGATAATTGACTTTTTAAAGCATATATAAATCTTTAATACCCTTTGATTTTAAGAAAAATTTGTTATTCATATTCTTTAACAAATAGTGGGATAGCTAGCTATAAAATCAAGAATTTGCAGTGGGAATAATCTTCTGCTGAGAGTTACAATTTAATATTTATAAGTAGTCAGTAAAGGTGCAGCCACTCCACATTGCCTTTTAAAAAATATTAATAAGGAAAAATGATGCAATTATGCTATTTTCAGGTGTCATTGGACAGTTAGGTTTTTTGGAGAAAGTAGTTTGAATCATCTAGTCCAAACAGTGAGAGAAAGAAAGATGCTACAGAAATAGCCAATAAGCAAATAATTTTGTCTTCAAATCACACTGCAAATATGGTATATAATACATACTTTGGCATAAAAGTATTATAGAATCATAAAATTTTAAAAACTATAAAGCTAATATCCAGTTGACCATTTTGTTATCTCAATGTCATATAATTCTTTTCAAATCACACCCTCCATGAGATACTTTTTGAATTAAAAATAAGACACATCTCACTGTATCCACATAGTGGCCTATCTAAAACACTCTGTGTTGCTTTAATGTATTAAAAGTTTGTTCAGTTCTAAGCGGTGATTTTTAAATGTCAAAGAAATACAATTCATGGAAAAAGGACTCACAGTTACTACATTAAATTTTTGTGTGATATTTAGATTACAGAAGTTTTATTGTTTTCACACTGCTTTTTCTCACTTTCATTTCAGCAGATGTATTTTGTGCATTTTATATTAACTAACAGTTCACTTGGAGAGATCACTCTAATATTTGGAGCCGATTCCCTACAGATACATTCTTTAAACCTACTGTGCAGAAAGGATTTGATTTTCATATTGTATGTTATCTTTTCTTGATCTTATTACTCTGGCCTGTACAGGCATTCAGTGGAACCCATGAAGAGAGTACAGACAGCTGACTGGATGAAGAAGACATTGGGGAAAAAAACTCCCATTGTTTAGATTTCTGTCAGAGGATATAAGAATACTTAATTTCTTTTATCTCTAGGGCTTTCATTATCATTTAAATTTCATTTTACATTAATTGATCAGGGATTAGTAAAGCCATTATGCAGAAATTAGAATAAGACAAGCCAGATGGAATGAATAATTCATGAAGTCCAATTACGTTTTATTTCTGGTGTACTTTCAAACTTGCCTCTGACTTCTGTGCTATTTTGATGTGACAATATTCACTGGAAATCAAGAGTGCCATTTTAATTTATTGTATCCCTCTGGAGTGGAAGCATTTGTATGCACTAGGGGTTTGTTAACGCATTTCCACTCACACACCCCCAACACCCAAAAGTCAATTTTCGGGATTTTGAAAACACTGGGTGATCTAGGAATATGGTTCATTTTGTACAGAGGTTCAGGGGCACTTCAATGAGACACACCAGTTCAACTGATTGGGGTGAGCTGACCCTATGCAGAGAGACTAAAGGCGTAGGATCACGAAATGATTACCTCCTGGAAAAGCACTAATCCTCTTTAAAATATTTGTATGCCTTCCTCGCTGCAAAAGAACCCTTAAAATGTGAATTTGGCCTGGAGTTGGACTGGAGGTAGCAGCAGCTGTTGCAGCTACAGATGAGGACCACGAGGTGGCAGGGGTTGCCTTCAATGAAAGGGTTCGGGGCGGTCGGGACCGCCGGGGCTTCAGAACATCCCAGCGGGTCCAAGCCGGGCCGACCACGGTTGGGTTTAGGCTCAGAACATCTCGCAAAGCGTTGCCGGGAGAGAATTCCGAACTAATGGGCAGTCCCGTCCACCTGTCTGGAATGCCTCATACGACTGTGTCTGAAACCGCCTCCCCACCCCCGGTCCCAGCCCCCAGCCCCTTCAAAGGCCCCCTCTCCCCCCGGTATTTATTTATGCCACTGGACAGTTCTAGTCACATTAAAGCTCCGGTTCACCTTCTCGAGGACTTTCATCTCGGGAAGTTTTATGACACTTTGTGAATGTGCAAAGTTTTTAATTAGGCTCTCTAGACAGCCCGAGGCAGCAGCAGCGCCACAAAGTCTTCACGGTCTCTCTGCTTTACAGCACAACAAGCCGCTCTACTCCTTTGAAGACAATGCAGACTATGTGTACGATGTCATGTGGTCCCCCGTGCATCCCGCGCTCTTTGCCTGCGTGGACGGGATGGGGCGCTTGGACCTCTGGAACCTCAACAATGACACCGAGGTGAGCGGCGGCTAAGGCGCCCGGGCCGGAGGGCTGGGAGGGGGGCGCAGTCGGCCACTCGCAGTCTCTCCCTCTTTCTCTACAACGGCCTTTTTTGGACAGACCTTCCAATTGCAGCAGGGCTGCCGGCCCCCCATTCTTGACTACCCTGAAGGGAATTGGCAGACGCATTGGACAAAAATCACTTAATCTCCCTTCATCCCTAAACGGTGGCTGCTCCTGGACAATTAACCACCCTTTTTGCAAAGAGCAAAACGTTATGCGTTCACACCTTTTCCCTATGGGACAGGACACACAGGCATTTGTCAGAGCCGTGTTGAAATAACTTTACTGGCAAACACTTGGAAAAGAAGCTTTTGTGGACGTTGATTTTTAGATTAGGCTTTTAAAAGGGGCTATTTGTCAGTGTTTGCTACTTGCACCATTTCTATTTTGAATCCATAAAAGACGATTCTGTTGACTATTTTTTGTTTAGATCTTTCATCCATTTGATTTGTACCAAGGTAAATATTCCTTGTCTAAGATATCAAACTCAGAGGCAGACTTTTACAACAGCCTCTAACTTTGAACATGAATATCAAACTCAGTATTTTTTTTAAAAGAGAGTTTAACATGTCACATTTACAGTAAGTGAAAGTACCCATTTATTTTAAAAAGCAGCCAATAATGCTGTTTTTAAATTATGCTATAAAATTGTATGTTTTAAAAACTATGCCACATGCATTGTTCCTTTTTGCCAGTCTTGCAAAAATATTGAGTTGCTAATTCAGCTACTTGGATGTTTTGGGTTTTTTTTTTTTTAACATAAATATTATTGTCCTTCAACTTTATAAAATAAAATGGTCCCTGCATCACTTCTTGGTTTCTGACTCAAGAAAGCTCTCTATAAATAAGAATGGACAGGTAAGAGGAACAAGTGCTGCAAACTATATGTCAAGTGGAGAACAACAGAAAGGTCTTTTGAAGTGTTTTGAGCAGGAAACAGCTCAGCCTTTTTAATTAGGAAGCCCACAGCTGGAGGATCTGAGGAGGAGCATACTTCCCTCCTATTTTTTTTTTTTTTTTTTTGCATATGTGTGGGAGGGGGCAGGGAAATATTCTTCAGGTGTTATTATTGACTCATTGTATCTTCAAGGGTATATACACCTATAATCGCTGCCAAGTAGTTATCTTTTAAAACTCTTTCAATTTGAGTCTGTTTTTCCTTTTAGCTACAAGAACTCTGTAACAAGAAAGAGTTATGTAATGAAGCATCTTTGAAAATAACCAAAAGGCATGAGTACGTGAAATGCCCCATCATTTGGATATTGAAATGTTTATAACATTATTGTTTTTATTAGAAAGATGTTATTACCTTATATTGTAAGGGTTTCCCAGAGTCTTCATCACTGTTTATTAAAATCATATTGCTTCTATTTGCTAGGAGAAATTCATTCATTTAAAGCAACCAAAAAAAAAAAAAAAAAACACAACATTTTCCTGATTGACTTAGAAGACCGCTGTCTTAGAAATCCAGCTTAGTTGAGATAATGTTTAGGTGATACCCAACTACAATGCATATGAAGGGAGTGAGTGTTCTAGAAACTCCTTAATAATTCCTATGTAACTATTTTTCTTTAAAATTTTTTTTTTTAGGGAAAATGAAAGTAATGTCTCAACATTGATAAACATAATTTTTTTCCCTTCTCTCTCTAGATATCAAGAGACAACCACCTAAGAGTTTTATAGCTAAACATTTTTTAAAAATCATTATTGGTCATGCAAACTGTTTAGTTTTGTGGTAAACATAATTCTGCTTTCACAATAATAGTAGAGTTACATTGAGTCCAGCTCAAATCCAGTAATTAACCGAACACTTTTTAAAACCTTCAAATCATTTTTGCCTTCTGGCAAGTTGAACAAGATTTTTCAAATATTTGTCAGATTAAAAACTAGATTTGTTTTAAAAATTTGAATTATAGTACAGCAGTATGTTTTGTTGTTGTTGTTCATATTATTACATTTTTGGACCAAGTTATTCCATCTGTTCCTGTGCAAGGGTAGTTCATATTTCCCACCTCGGTATTTCTGATTTCTACTGCTTAATATAATAATTTATGATATGTAAATCTTGTCTTTGCAATTAAAATGATTGAGCCAGGAAAACTGTGGAAATATTTGTGAAACAAAATACAGAATAAGAGACAGACAGAACATATGAATTGTTTTTTATTATTCATCAACTTTGGAAAGGTCATTACTGATCAGATTAATGCAAATATATTTTGTCATTTTCTTCATGCATTTATGAATTTTCTAGCACATAATACAGGCTGTGATCATTATTTTCTATCATTTATAATATCTATGAAAAGAAACTATTTTTAAATGTTTAAAATACTATTTCAGTTTGTTATAGTAGTTATATTCCAAATAAATAAAATTCTTGAAAATGTATTAGGCATTATTTTAAATGTGTTACAATGTCAGTTTATTTTCAGGGTTTTTTTTTTTGTTATATTCATATTAAGATTAAACATTTTATTCTATTTTTAAGATTGTTCATAGATTACCTAATTCTATTCAATATCAGATTGTTCATGGAATTAGGTAGTAGAATTAAGTAAGAATCCTGTATGAACCTTCTAAATTGTGGTATTAAAAATTAACTTTGAAGAGTCTACAGTTGAATCACAGATTTGTTTTCTGGGCAGCACAGTAATAATAAAATGTATTGACAGAATTATGATCCATCTAAATTCACATTGTTTCAGCCTTTGAAAGATTTGGTTAAAAATTCAGACTCTAGCTTGCACAGCAGGTACTTTTATTATAGAAATTGTGTATTTTTAAAAAATAAATGAGCCGGGAACTTTTGGTTTTTTTGTTGTTGTTGTTCACAATTGACATACAGTGATTTAAGCAGGTGAAAGAATTTTTATTGATTTCAAGATTAAGTTTAAACATAGATTCTTACATATGATGGAGTTTTTATTGCTATTTTAAAGATAGGTATTGGGTCAATAATTTTGTATAAACAGATGGTTTCAATTCCCTGAATAACAGAATGCCAGTGGTACTAAGCCACAGTACATGTTGTATTTCCATTCTAATGTGACATGTTTATTAGACACAGGTCTTGAACAGTGGCATGAGATGATCTTAGTGGCCCCCTTTTCACCATATTTTTTCTTTTTGTTTTAATATTTACCTTTTCCTTTCTTAATGGCATGTTGTCATTTCCTATTCAACATTCTTATAAAAGGCTCAAGAGATCTGAACTTTATGTCAATTATAAACTTCTAACCTTGAAGACAAGCTTTTACACAACAGATAATGGAAGAGAGGTAGACACACTAAAAAGTCTTTCCAAATACTGAGGTTCTTGGAACAAATACTACAGGTTCCATTGCAGCACCTCCAGTTCACTTTAATTATTATTACTGTGATAATTATCAATGCTTTTAGATTTGAAGTGTTTATTAAAGGAGATTTAAGGCATTTTCTATGAGTGGGTGGCTGTATTCTATCACGATGTCGCCCTGGAGATAGTGCCAAAGTTGTGGATTGCTTATTACACTTTGGTACTGCCAGAGGGAGGAAGACAGATTTAACAAAAGAGAGAGAAAGGGAGAGAGAGAGAGAGAGAATTTGAGTTTTTTGAAAATTTTTTTTTACCTTTATGTTTTCCTTTCTTCTTCTGATCATCTCCTCCCTGATGAGGTTTTGAGGTATCAATACATATGTTTACATTTTCCTCGAAGACTCACATTAATATGACTTTTATTCCACCACACACCCCCTTTCTGCCTTTTTAGTATCCTTAATTTTGGTAAATCCTGAGATCTCTCTCTCTCCATCTGTCCATAAACTATGACCCGATGGGGAAGGATCCCATTTAGCTCCTGTATTTTTTGTTGGATGTACACTTGTCATAATCCAAAGAAATATTCATGCCACTTACTGCCCGGTGACTATGTAAAAAGACTCTCCCTCCTTTTCTTTTTTTGTTAAAATGTCTCTTCTCTCTACCCCTTAATTCAGTGGAGCATATGATTTAAGAACAATGAGCCCTTTTTCCCCCGGCACAAGGGATGAATATTACTTCATGCACATGAAGGCAGTTGGTGACTCATCCAGTTAAAAGTATTATTGCAAATTTGTATATTTAAATTCATATTCAGAGATTCTCTTATTCTGTTGTAAACCCTTTGGCAGGTTCCAACAGCAAGTGTGGCCATTGAGGGAGCATCCGCCCTAAACCGTGTTCGTTGGGCCCAAGCCGGCAAAGAAGTTGCTGTTGGGGACTCAGAAGGCCGTATTTGGGTCTATGACGTTGGAGAGGTACATGTGTATTTGTTTGTGTTGTTGTTATTGTTTTGACTTGTAGATCTACTTTAGAGACCTAGTGAAATTATTGGCAAGACCTTGTAGGCCACAAGGACCCTCTATAATATGCTTGCAAACTTCCATTGACTTCAGTGCTAGTTTGGCGAGACTTCCTTAGGGCCTAATTTGATCTTCTGTCTCCATGCAAGGACACTTATGTTAACGATCTAAGCTCCTTTTAGAGTGCTGTAGAATGTCCCATCATCCTGTGATGGAGAGTGGCACTTCCCACTAATTTCATGAGAATGAAAAGTTTAAAGGCCGGGCTCAGTGGCTCACGGCTGTAATCCCAGCCTTTGGGAGGCCGAAGTGGGTGGATCACAAGGTCAGGAATTCAAGACCAGCCTGGCCAACATAGTGAAACCCTGTCTGTACTAAAAATACAAAAATTAGCCAGGCGTGGTGGCGGGCACCTGTAATCCCAGCTACTTGGGAGGCTGAGGCAGGAGAATCACTTGAATCCAGGAGGCAGAGGTTGCAGTGAGCCGAGATTGTGCCATTGCAATCCAGCCTGGGTGGTAGAGAGACTCCATCTCAGGAAAAAGGAAGAAAAGTTTGCCAAATACATCATGCTAAAATTGAATTTGGAATGTTTTGTTTACTTGAAAAGTCAAGTTTTGGTTAGTATGTTCAATTAATATATACACTATTTTTCTTTAATTAAAGTGTAGCCAATTGAAAATGAGGTTAATTAGAATTTTGTGCTGTTTGGTGATATTCAAAATTTCCTGAACATCGTGGCATGTAAAAAAGGAAAAAAAAATTACATCTTTTATTTCAGACAAATCTCCTTGAATTTGTATAAGATCTTAATTTAATGTTACATTATCAGTCAATTGTACTTAAGATTGTCTGTTTATTTTTACTGTATGAGAAAGTGTTGACCAAAACCTTCATTTCTGGCGAGATAAAGAATTTTTTCCTTAAAGGAAAAGAAAATATTGAACTTTCAAGCAAAACAAAATAAGAGTGTTATGTAATGCTATTTTGGCATAATATGAATCTAACATTTGCATTCCAGGGGGAAAATATACCACATTTGTATGCATAGCATCCTAGACCTAGAAAGTACTCTGTGAGTGCCTGGTGGATGGGTTTAGCTGATCACACTGAGAAGGATTCTTTATGGTTTCATCAATCAGCATTCTATAAATTTGGCAATCTTAAATGGTTTGTTCTACAATGGAACTTTTGATGACATATTTTATACTGCTATATGGTATAGTTGATTATGTTGAAACAAGCTAGATGGTGTTTTAAAAAATTCAGCCAGGGACAAAAACCGAATGACTTTAGAAATGGGAGTTTTCTATTCCGGATGCATAGTTCTAAGTAAAAAAAACAATCTCTTTCTTTTACTGCATGTTATCTATTTCATTTGACACCCCCTTGACTACTGATACCACAAGCTGAGTTGTTCCAACAGTGACAAAAACTCTGTTAATATTGGCCCCAATGATGAAGATGCAAATGGTCTGGTGACTATCGATATACTTTGGAGTCTTTGGGAAAGAGAATACCCTCTGAGTCGGAAATACCGCCAGTAGTGTTACAGCAGTATTTTTTCTTAAATGAGTATTCTTTATGTTTAATGTATCTTTCTCATGGCCTTCATCAAAGTAAAACTAAATGACAATAACAAAAACAGATATTCTTTATTGGTCACTTCCTAAAAAATAAAAAAGAGCAAAGGAGAATGTAAAAAAAAAAAAGGCTTTTCTCTCTTTCTGTCTTTTCTTCCTTTCTTCCTTTTCCTTTCCTTTGTTTATAACAAGTGTAATTGTGGGAGAGAAATAGACATGAAGACATGCTCAGAGACACAATGGCAGAAAATAGACAAAATGTAAAAACTTTTTGCTCTACCTCCTTTGCATACACATAATGTCCCTTAACTCACTTAAGATTATATACAATATAATTGTTTTATCCCTCTTTGTTGTATTCTAAAAGGACTAAAAAACAGAATAGTTTAACAATCTGTTTTATATTTTAAAAGGCCTTTTGAAAAGTCTTTATTTTGACTTAAATATTATATATATACACACTATATATATGCACACACATACATTCATACACAGTCTCTATGCAATAAGGAAACACAACATGACATATATACAGAATTTTCTGCAATAAAAGTAATTTTATGGCTTTTGGACAGAATTACTTGAATATGACATATTTTGCGAGTATATATGATTTTACAAAAGTTGCTTTGGCTGATATGTGGCTGCTAAAATTTCTTTCTAGGATGCTATCATCATTTCTAAATTGTAAAGTGTTGTTATACTCATATTTCTACTATCGTACTGGCAGGTCAGGCTGGTTTTCATTTTTATGTTCTTGCCCTTACTTTTCTAAGTGATATTACAGACTATAGAAATGTCTGCAACTATAGGCCAGTCTCGCCTATTGTCTGGAGTCTAGACAGGCTATAGAAAAATCTCTGTGACATATAATAGGCCAAACAATTTGTAGGGTTGTTTATCCCTACAAATTCACTACCAAGAAAAAGAAAGGATATACTATTTGATTGAGAGTAGGTAATATTACAATCTCTAGGCCTTCTCTGAATGACCGGAAATCAGGATAAGCTTATACACCTGAACAATTCTTTAGGTATTGTTGATCATATACAAAGCAATCCATAGCTCAGAAAAACTCAGACTTAACAAAATAATTGCCTGAACTGTGGTTTTTTTCTAAGTATTTTTATAAATTATATGTATTTGGGGAGAAGGGGAATTTTTGTGTTTCTCTCTGTCACCACTAAGCTTTATTCTAAATCGCTGAAGACCCAGTCTGTAGAGGCACCATGTACTAAAAGGAAAAATGACTTCCCTACCTCTGAGGCTTAGCTGCAGCCTGCTTCTGAAAGAGGTAGATCCCTTAAGGGCAAATGCTGCCATTATTGTGATTACTATAGGATCGTTCACCAGCCCAGAACTGACAGAACATAACTGTGCTTAAAGAGAAGTGTACCCTCTGGACAAGTGCCTTCTCATTCTTCCAAATCACCTAAACTGCGGAAGGCCAGATGGAATGCTTCACGGCAGGGTGGCCCACTTGGAATTAGAGGTCCTATCTAAGGCTGGTACATGACTGACTGCAGGGAGGATGGTTGAGCCGAGAGCTATTTAAGAAGAAACAAATATGGCATTGAAGAGTAAATTGCCAGTAGGCTCTGCCACCATTTACCAATATTCAAAATTGGTTCCCTGGTCCTTATTAAAACGAAACTAGTAACCACGGTCATGCTAGCCTTGAGATAGAAAACCTTGCTTTATAGAACCCTCTAGAAAGAAGACAAAATGCTTTTAGATAAGCTTTGTAATACAATCTGTATTAAAAAGTAGATGGTAGGTTTTTTAGAGCACACGGTGTTGGTCCATTTTCCTCAGTACATTGAATAGATGTCTGTGGGAAGACATCTCCCATTCATTCTCCCAGTGTTGATTCGAGAGATTTCTTTTAAGCTGGGGAGAAAAGAGCGGCCTGTAGACTAGCTTTTGCCAAGACCCTGTTCCACAAGTGAGGCTGTCTTGAAGGGTATAGGACTTGTGCAATTGCATAGGGCCCTGTGCTTAGGGGAGCCCTGAGCTTGGGTCATTGTCTTACAATTGCTAAAACTTTGTCAGGAAGGAATTCCACATATTCATTTTTCACTGAACCATGCAAATTATGTAGCCGGTCCTGTCCACTAGAGTGTTACTCTTAGTGCCACTCATGAGGCAAATCAGGAAAAAAAAAAAAAAAAAAAAAAAGGCCGTAACCTAGATCATTAGGAAGAAAGAGAAAGCTCTAGAAATGTAGTTAAATGGATGGACACACTACAATCTTCTGATTACCTATATCTCTTTTTACTCTTTTTTTTTGAGAAGGAGTTTTGCTCTTGCCCAGGCTGGAGTGCAATGGCGCCCTTCCACCTCCCAGGTTTAAGCAATTCTCTTGCCTCAGCCTCCCAAGTATCTGGGATTACAGGCACACGCCACCACACCCAATCAATTTTTGTATCTTTAGTAGAGACAGGATTTTGCTATGTTGGCCAGGCTGGTCTGGAACTCCTGACCTCAGGTGATCCACCCGCCTCGGCCTCCCAAAGTACTGAGATTACAGGTGTGAGCCACTGCGCCCGGCCTCATTACCTATTTCTTAAAACTCTTTAAAAATGTTTAGTGAGAAGGGCCATGACTCTACCATGATAAACATCAAGGTACATATAGAGCTAAAGCCATGCTGAAGATCCCAGTTCACCTCCCACAACCCTGTTTTGATCACATCATAGTTTTACCTGAAAAATGTATTAATAATATAATTTGGGGAAAGATCTCTGAGATGCCTACGCCAGTTGGAGTGGAGTGGGACAGGCTTTCTCTGTCCACACCGTTGTTGAGATCTCCCTGAAGGGAGCTGCTATGAGCACTGATGGAAACATCCCCATTCAAGCCCAGGTAGACTTGCCTTCCTGTGAGCCCTGGCACTCCCTGATTAGGGCATTGCAGAAAGGGACTCTGGTATCACCAGTCACTGACAATCGTCTGCCTCATCTCCTGTCCCAGCTGAGGCTGCAGCTGCTGCAGGGAGCCCCAGCTCAGTGCCCCTATGACCATGCCTTCCTCTTATAATGTACACTTATCCTCTATGACTTTTAAGTTGATGGCAGAGAGCAGTGGCTTGAATCCAGATTTAGTGATACAATTTATTATGAACTTCTGAAGGCGTAAACATAGGATTGTGTATGAGCTCACTGAAATCACCAGACTGAGTTTGTCCATCTCCCTTTTTTTTTCTTTTTGTTACATTTAAATGACAAAGACATGAGTAATATCCCACAACCTATTACTCAAGAGGTAAAATATAAAACAGCAATGTTTTCAGGTAGGTCACCTGAGGCTGTGTTTATATAGCTCACATTTTTGGTTGTCTGATTTCAGCATTATATCTGGAAAATACACTGT